AAGTCCTGTCTAGTTAGAGGGACGGTAACAGGGTATTTGGACTTTGATTTCTTTCTTTGTCCCCTGCCTGGGCCTCTCATGTTTACCCTGCTTTCTGTAAAGAAGTTCCACCCTCAAGAATGTTCCTTAGGGTACCTCTGATCAGCTTTCCATGAGATCCAGAAGGGTTTTCGTTCTTTACACTTTTGATTGTGGTACAACTATTCTGTTTTCTGAGAAATCACGAAATTGATTTCTAAAGTGGTTGCACAAGTTTACACTCCCACCAGCAATGGAGGAATGTTCCCCTTGCTCCACATCCTCACCAGCATCTACTATCACGTGAGCTTTTTATCTTAGCCATTCTGACTGGTGAATCTCAGAGTTGTTTGATTGCATTTCCCTGATGACAAGGACTTTAAATATTTCTCTAAGTGCTTCTCAGCCATTCGTGATTCCTGTGTTGAGAATTCCCTGTTTAGCTCTGTGCCCCATTTTTTAATTTGATTATTAATTTAGTTTTTGGTGTGTAACTTCTGGAGTTCTTTATAAATTTTGGATATTAACCCTGTCAGATGTGGGATTGGTGAAGGTCTTTCCCCAATCGCTAGGTTGCGTTTTGTCCTATTGAGAGTGTCCTTTGCCTTACAGAAGTCTTTCAGTTTCATCAATTGTTGATCTTAGAGCCTGAGCCATTGGTGTCATGTTCAGGAAATTATCTCCTGTACTAATGTGTTCAAAGGTATTTCCCACTTTCTCTTCTAGAGATTTAGTGTATCCTGTTTTGTGTTGAGGTCCTTGATTCACCTGGACTTGCGTTTTATGCAAGATGATTGATAAGGATCTATTTTCATTCTTCTACATGTAGACATCCAGTTTGACCAGTCCCATTTATTGAAGATGCTTTCTTTTTTCCACTGTATGTTTTTGGCTTCTTTTCAAAGATCAATTATCCACAGGTGTGTATGTTTTTGATTTGATTCCATTGATCAACATGTCTGTTTCTGTACCAATACCATAAAGTTTTTCTTTTTTAAATACTATTGCTCTGTAGTACAGCTTGAGGACATAATAAGCCAAATGGGTCTATGCCAGGCTTCTCTATTTTTTTTTCCTCTTTCTCTGTTCATTTTTCCAGTTTGACTTACTTAGCTGTGGCTGCTGTTTAACCTATTAGTGCCAGCCATCTTTGAATGAAGTTACATTTTCATGGGAATTATATATTTCTGTCTTAACACCAGAGTTCTCAAGTTTCTACAAATGATATTAATATACCTTATTGCCACATCTAAAAGATTGAATTTGACTTTTATCTTAATTTTCTTTAAAGAATTAACATGCTAAAATATTTTATGTATTATGAATATGTAATCTTAGTAACTCCCATTATCTTGTGTTCACTCAGTAGTTTGTTTTATTTTCTTTCTTTTTTTTTGTACTTACATAGAAGGATAAATTTATTGAAATAGAAGAAATGTAAACTTTGCTTCTAGCTCCAGATAATATAAACTATATGTTGGTGTGTGTATGTGTGTTTGTATGAATGTGTGTGTGTGTGTGTGATATGTATATGCATGTGTATGTATGTTCATTCATATGTATGGGTACTCATATAAACCTATGAAGTCCTGAAAAGAACATTGGGTGTCCTGTTTTACCACTCTCTGACTTAATGCTTGAGGGAGGGTTCGTCAGTGAGCCTGAATTCATGCAGCCAGCAGCCAGCCCCAGTGATCCTCTGGTGTGTGATCCCCACAGCATTAGCTTTGCCCAACTTTTTACATGGGTGCTGGAGATTTTGAATGGTACTCCTCATGCTTGTGTAGAAAGTGCACTTAGTCACTGAGCCATCTTCCCAGGCTCCTGTGGGATTTTCTACAGGATCAATTCCCAGGGTATCTTTCAATAGTGGAATCAGAGGACAAAGGAAAGTCTAAAAGTATATCTGATGTCAGTGATTCTATTTTTTTTTCTGATTAGATAATTTTCATTTCTTTAATTTTAAATTTTTTACTGGATATTTTATTTATTTGCATTCCAGATGTCATCCTCTTTCCTCATTTCCCCTCCCTAGAACCCCCTATTCTATCCCTCCTCCTTTCTGCTTTTATACCATTTGAATTACATGCAAGTATTCAGGTCATTTCTAGGTTGAGGGACTAGCAATACAATAGATGCAAATAGTCAAGGAGCAAGCAAGGCAATAAACAAAATTCTGCGAACACTTCCATGATCACTGTTTCTAAGGGCTTTTCAGAATGACCAAAATATCTGAGACAACTTCCCTGCCCTAGCCCAAAGTCACTTTCATGTCTGAAGCCTACTTCCTTGTTCTAGCCTAAAATTTAGATTCATGCCTGAAATTACTTCTTTGTTCTAGCCTAATGTCAGATTCCTGCCTGAAGCCTACTTCCTTGTCCTTGGCCAATGTCATATTTCTGCCAAGCAGCCCATTTCCTTATCCTTGGCCCATGTCAGATTCTTGCCAGGCAGCCCCAAATGCTTTCTGCCTCTCCCCCTTTTTTATTTCATTAACAAGACTGAACCTGTCTTAGGTTGTTCTGACAAGAATGACTTCCTTACTCATCACGGAATATGCATTATCAAAGGCAATGTACTTCTGTCTTAGATTAGTAAGGCTCTGTGCAGACTCTTACCCGTCCTTGGTTTGCCAGCCTGTTAATTTAATAACTCTGTTTGGGAGTTCATTTTCAAGTTCAAGCCATGTATTTTGGCTGCCAACATGTTGATGTTGTTAAAGACAAACTTTAACACGATGGGCGTGAATAAAAGTATTCCCAGGACAAAAAGGCTAGGATGATCAAGCTGTATATGCCATTCTTGAAGCTTGACCAAAATAGAAGTACTGTCCTCAGGCCATGGGTAATTTTATCAGCAGTATTTACTGCATCAACACTTAGCAGAGCAGCATTCTTGAAATTCATAAGCTCACTATTCAAAGTTAAAACATCCTGAGAGGTGTTAGAATTATGCCAAATACACTGCAAGTGTCTTTAAACTTTTTCCTAATTATAGTGACTACCATTGTAAATTTTAGAACTAACATGAATCCAATGGCATTTGGCATGACACTCGAGATAGCTCCTTATCTTTAAATTTTGAACCTCCTTCTGATAATTTGAATAGGATAAAGAACATCAATCTGTTCTTCTAAATACCTATCTAAATCCTCTTGTAAAGTCAACACATTAGTAACATTTTTTGCTAAATGATTAACAAAAGTAGCTGTCTTAATATCTTGTGTCAAAGCAATTGCAGAAGCAGTGGTACTAGCAATTAATGTAATTAAAGCTGTTATACTAGCAATAATCAAGCCCACTATCCTCTTGCTACTGCTTAAAGCCTGACTCACTTCTTCCAGTACTTGCAAGTTTTTCTTCAGAAGACCAAGGTTCTGTGATCCTCAGGGCACTAAAACAAAAGCTGGTTGATAGACCTTCATAACTGACATGCTGGATTTGAAAACGCAAACATAATTAGAAGATGTGCAATCAATACAACTTACATTAAATACTGTAGAAGCAACAAAAATAATTTTAACTTGACAATTAAAAGAGCCTTAACACGTGCTAATACCTAGGTTCTGCCTCAACTTTATGCTAACATAACATCGTAGAGAACTGCAGCTAACTTCCATATATGTCTCTGAAAATGTCCAGAACTAGACTTCCAAATGAAGACTGTTATTTCTAATATTGGATTGATTTCTAGACCAGTCCATGATTGTGGGACTGCGTAAGGGTATCTTGGTTCATGGCTGGGCATGGGCCTAGAACCCCTAGACTCTAAGTGAGAACTGGCAGGAGTTCAGCCACGTCCCCAGAACCCAGGGTCCTGACACATAGTCTCGTCTCCATAGACCTACATTGTTCAGTCACATAGGCCATTACAGCCTCTCCCAAAGTGCACAGGTAGAGGGTGTGACTGGAGGCCTCAGGCCCTAGGGATTTACATACTAATGAAGGCCAGAGGGCAGAGCAAATTAAGCATTCCTTCCTAGATTCTCCCCAGATCCTCCCCATTTCTCCCTCCCTATTTAACTCGGGACTGCCCTGAGTTTCATGCGGGCATACTTCCAGATCCATCCACCATCCGCCATGACAGTAAACCCTTTTGGAACCAAGGACTTCCTTGTGTCACTGGGGCCTGCTGTCGCCAAAGCCTCCAGCCCTTGGAACCTTAGACCTCCTCCTATATGTGGGACCCGCCAGCATGGAAAACCCACCAAGACCTCCCCCACTGCTACGGCCTAATTTTCCCACACATGATTGAGTCTGAATAGCTGATCACATTTAAGAACAATACAAGAATCATTATAACTTCTCTTTTTGATTCTATGTTCCACAAGGTCTAAAAACTTGAGGCAAGGCACCTTGTCCCATCAGGGGTATAGGTAAGCAATGGTGGGTCGGGAACTTATGTCCAATACAACTTCCAGTCACCATTGTCAGGGCACTCAGCAAGCGCACAGGTCAGCATCATTCTTTGTCCTAGCATCAACATGTCTCACCTATCACTCTGGCGGCCACCATGGCTGCTTCAGCATCCTGCAGAAAAAACATAAACATGCCCTCTTCCCCATATTTAATACCTGATTGGGATCATGCCTTATGCCAGTAAGTGGATCCTTCCCTTTCACTTATGCATAAGTATGCCTAGTTGTAGAGTGCCGTAGACACTCAGCAGAAAGTTCCTTGGCATCCAAATTTTTTTAAAAAATTTAAAATAAAAAATAAAAATAACATGATTTAAATAAATTTGTGGTGTACAAGGATATATCTCCCCCTTTTTTATTTTATGAAGATACTGTTTTAAAGTTCCATGAGCTTCTTTCACAGTCTCCTGTCCTTTACAATTATAAGGAATCCTAGTAATATGGGTAATATTAAATTGCTGCCAAAAAGTCTCAAACGTTTGACTGTGACAGTTCCATTATCTGTTTTTTGTTTGTTTTTCTTTTCTTTATTTTATTATTGGATAATTTATTTATCTACATTTCAACAAATAAGGAATGCTTCACAAGTTTGCGTGTCATCCTTGTGCAGTTGCTGTGCTAATCTTCTCTGTGTCGTTTCAATTTTAGTATATGTACTGCTGAAGCGAGCACAGTTTGTTTTATTTTCAACCATAGTAGAGGCTGTTTTTTAAAACTTTGAGGTCAATGCTTCAGACACCATGTAAATTCTGTTAGCATCTGTTCTTAATATTACATACACATAAGATATATTATATATATATCTAAGATATATTTTATAACATTTAATTATGCTAAGTAATTTTCAGATAATATTGCATAATAATAATTTTGGGACAAATAGTATCATCTATAAGTCAGGATGAAATAATAAGAACCACAGACTGTGTAACGTACCTCAGGTTGTGGAGTGAGGAACTGATCACAGAGGTGTTTATTGAGGAGGATAATAATATTTTTCTTTGTCATAGACTTATTTTTTGAATGAACTAAAAAGTGACTCAAATTATATGGTTTAATTCGAATAGTCTACCATTGATTATGAAGATACCTTTATATTTTAAATTTTGATTATTTTATGTGTGTAGGTGTTTTTGTCTGTATACACATTGGTGTACTAGATGTGTACCCACAGAAGCCAGAAGAGGGTGTTGGACCCTTGACCCTGGCGTTGTAGCTCTTGGCCACCATGTGTGTGCTGGGACTCAAACCTGGATCCTCTGCACATGTCATGCTCTTAGTCACTGAACAATCTTTGTGTCCTTATTTTAGTGCTTTGATGGGCACAATCTTAAATTAGAAACCACTACATTTAAGATAATGGGTTAGAAAAAATGAAATCACTATCTGGCTATAACTGTCTTACTTCTCATTCATTTAAGACTCATCATTGTTTGTTTTATCTATTTGTTTATTTAGTTTTGAGACAGTCTCCCTCTGAAGACCAGGCTGGCCTAGAACTTACTATATAGCCAGTGCTATCCTTGAATTTGAGAGGACCCTTCTGTTTCAGCCTCCAGAGTACTAGAATTCTGAGTCTTCATCACCACACCCAGCTTCAGTGATACTTTTGTCTCAGGAATACTTCATTTAATTATGGTCCATTATTGTGACTTTAGAACATTTCATTTTTAATGGAATGGGTATGAATTTAAGTACTCAGACTCTTGGGTAATTATCCAATTACATGTTCATAATTCTAACATGATTAAATGACAATGTTTAATTCATCTTAGAGGTAATTTTACCCCTATGTGAGCTCTGTATTCTAAATAATTATACTTCTCTGTTTCTAGGAAAAACTTAATTAAGTCTTAGGTTTTATTTGGAAGTTTCGGCACATTGCAGCGTGGTCTCACTCCTTGAGGAGCTGCTGATTAACCTTAGCAAACTGATACTGCAGCATTTTAAACACTAAGTAACACAGTAAATTTGACTCCTCAATGATTGGAGCTTTGAACACTATAAGAAGTTATTACTTTTTTTTATTTCCAGAAAATACCAAGAAAATATAGGGAATATTCCAAAAATATGTTAAAAATTATATAACAGGGACTATGAAAAAACCCGATGTAATTGTTTGCTAAACTGCTGTGTAGCTGAAGACTCTAAAAGGAGCTTTCATTTCTGTTGTTATGACATCATACACAGGAATGTAACGTTTTGTGGTAAAAGTTAAGCTTGGCAATATGTATAATGTACTTTCATTTACATACAGCTTACACATATCATTTTGAAAGCACTAGAAAAAAAAAGAAGTGCTTCTATGATTTTGGTGTATACATCTTATTTTAAATGCATGTGTTTAATGTAGGTGCATGTAATGTGTATATCATACATGTGCTTAAAATATAGTCTGCTTTAAAGAAAGGAGTTCCTATATATGTCTTCTATTTAGGTCTTTATGGATAAACAATTACTTTAAAATATTATTGCATTAATTATTAATTATTAAATATAGGTTAGTAATTTGGAAGATATATTTTTTATGAATTATAGCTGGACAGCTAAATTCATTTTGTCTGGTAGTATGCATAATCAACATTTGTATGTAAAAATAGCAGTAGGATCATATATATGTCTCTATAACACCTTATCTCAAGTGACTTTCTACAATTTTTAGTATTTAATTAAAACTCAAATTATCTTCCTGATGATTCATTATTAAATCAGCCTAGAAACTGATTTTCTAAATTATCCAGATTTTTTGAAACCACATGAGTTTTGGAGTAAATTGCCAAATGTGGAAATATGTCAGGACGCCCTGAGTTATGTTGCCGTTACAAACCACTCTACAATTTCAGTGGCCTCACAATGATAAATATTCCATTGCCCATCACATACCAGCTGTGATCTACACTCCCTAGGCTGACAGAGCATTCTTGATCTGGGGCACAGTTGATTTTGTAGTAGAAGGTTTGTGTAGTCACATGGCTGTTTTGAGTCTTCTTGGAGTCAGCTTTGACTTCTAGCTATATTTCAGTGAACTAAGCAAGTACCATACACACTTCCGATTTCAACAGGACAAGCCACATACATACAGGCTTTCTGTCCAGACAGGGCCCTCCCAGCTTATGTTGGCAAGGCTTAAAATCAGTAAGACCCAAGGATATATGTTTTCTCAGGGAAGCAAGAGAATAATTTGACTAGTAACACAATGTATTGAAATAATCTTTTTTCTTCTTTCCCATGCATACAAAATGAATATATTTTCTAGTTAGCCATACTGACCGAATTTGATCAAACTTTATGCCTTAATATCTGGGTCTTCTTTACTTTTTATATAGGGTTGAAAACAGTTATCTTAGGCATCCCTATGTCTAGTGACCTCTCTTTCTCTAAAGTTTTCCTTAGTATTAAAAATTATTCGACATTGTGTTATGCATAAGTAAGTTTGAGAGTATGTGTGCTTAAGGTTGGATACATTTCATTTAGCATTTTTGGGGTTCAAGAAGCCATGTTGCTGACATTTCAAGGAACCACCACTAGATGGTGGCCTCGCTCATTTAGAAGGCTAGAACTATGTTTTACTTCAGGTGAATGGGTTGATAGTGGAGGGATCAGAAATGTGAAATATGGGAATTTTGAGGGTGGGGAGGTGGGAGTGGGGGGGTGTAGATAGAGGTTACATCCACAGAGAAGAAGGAGGAGGGGCGAGGGGATTGGGGGTTCCGAGGGGGTGGTGGGGGATGGGGTAAGGGGACAACATAGGAAATGTAAATAAATCATCCAATAAAAAAAAAACTTTTATTAAAAAAAAAAAAAAGAAATGTGAAATATGCTGATTTCATTGTGAGATTTTTATGGTACTGTTTACTGAGTATGTAAATACACATGCACACAAACACACAAATCTAACACATACACACACACACACTCACATGCATGCAGACACATAGGCCCGTATACATGTACACATGCACATACTGCATACATACATGCAGGCACACAGGCATGTATACACTCACATGCATATACATGCACATGCACACTTCTACATGTACAAATGTGTACACACATGTACATTCTTGCACACACACACACACATCCTTTATTTTTCAGATATTACTGTCTGAACAAGTGTAGGTGTTTTCCTGAGTACTATTTCTATAGATAGTACAACCAGGCTCAGATCCATCCCTAGCACATTGTATTCTTGGGGTGTTGTGTGAATTTGCACATTGTTGTTGAAAGTAGGATTATTTTAGGTGTGCGCCTCTACTCTACTTCCTTTACTCCTCCCCCTCCCTCCCTACTTCTTTCCTGTTTGGTGCTGAGGATTGAACCCAGGGCCTAATACATGCCAAGCACGCACTGGACTACTGATTAGAATGCCAGTGCCCTTCCTATAATTAGTGGGAGTAGTGAGGGAAAGTGAAATTCCACATTTCACTCAGGACTGTTAAAACAACTTTAATGATTTTTTTCACACAGTAGGAAACAGTATAGACCCATCAAGGTGTTTCCACTTAGAAAATAGTCCTTGAGTTAAATTGTCTGCCTACAGTTTTTTGGTTTCTGAAGTAACATATTCCTTTCATTTGTATATTTCTGCTTTCACCCAAGCCTTAAGGCCTTCATATAATTCAAATAATTTGCAGGATTCCATATATTTATTAGAAACAAAATATATAGGTGGTATGCTAATTTGTGAAAAGTTAATATTAAGTGTAGTCCATCTGGATAATAAAAGTGAAATTTAATGAAATACTCTTTAGCTTACTAAAGAAAATTGTTTACCTCAAAATATGTATTTTGTGTATGTATTTAGTATGTCTATGAGTCCTTTTCCTCAAAGGAGAAATCATATTAAATGTTGCTTAGGGTTTAAGGAAAGAGTGAGATTTGTTGTGGTGATCCAGCATGATCTCTGGTGTTTATTGTAATTTGGCAGTTACAGTTTGCACGTGTGATCCCAAGACAGCGTGGGGAATTCTGCTTTGCAGCCTGGAACCCTTCAGCAGCTTTCCATGCCTCCTGTGACAACAGTTGGCACATTTGGACGTTGAACAGAATCTTACACAAAGCTCACAGAAAATGTTAAAATAAATCTGGCTGAAAGGACAAGGGTTGGGTGCCTCTGAATTCAGCATCCCCATCACCTCTGAATTCAGCATCCCCATCACCTCTGAATTCAGCATCCCCATCAAAGCCCGCCCCATCCCCAGCTGTCCCCACAGAGTGCTGTGTACAAATCACATGCAAGGGGAAGGTCCGATTTGCTGATCACCCTTTTGTGATCCGATCATGTGTGACCCTTTATGATTTCACCCGTCTTTCTGGCACCCCTCTCTTCCCAATCAACTTGAAGTAAGCTAGTCATTTAGGAAGAGGAACCTTAATTGAGAAAATGCCTCTACTAGATTATCTGTAGGCAAGTCTGTAGGGCATTTTTTTAAAATTTTTATCTTGATATTTCTGTGTTTCTCTTTCTTTTTTAAAATTTTATAATTTTTTTAAATTTACAATTCAGATGTTATCCCCTTACCACATCCTTCCCCCCCCCAGGAACTCCCTATCCTGTCCCCCCTCCTCCTGCTTCTATGAGGATGTGCCTCCACCCACCTATCCCCTCCCACCTCCCCACCCTGGAATTCTCCCACACTGGGGCATCCAGCCTTCATGGGACCAAG